GATCACTTTGTATACTCATGCGGACGTGGACGTGGACAGCAAGTTATACCCTTATTTTTCTCTTCACCAGGACAGAAGGATATGAAGGAGCAAAGGACTCACCAGATGAATTTTTTCTCAGCGTATACGGGACTAAAAACGGATAAGCTGAGTTAAATCGGTCATTAGATCGGTCATAAGAGTAAGAATTGCTCCTGGCCTGGCGGGTCAATGCGTCTCCATGCAACGCCTAATAATTTTATAGGAAAAATGTGGAGACGCTGCCACCTTTTAGGTTTCGAAAATTCAATCAAAGATCGGACGTGACGGATTTTGACAGACACCGGAGGTATTTATTCCTTGGAAAGAAGGATCTTCTTTGACTGCAGCCCTCACTCTTCCTCCAAGGCATACTACTACTTATGATTTCCAACACGAACGGGTCGACATATGTACCCCCAGAATATCCGTCACCCATTATCCAGACAACTCTCGCTTTCATCCAAGCATACAATGAATGGGACATTAACAAGATATCTGCTGTTTACGATGACTCGCTAGCTCACTACCTCCTCCCGAAATCACTCGGGCGCCCCGTCGTAAACAAGCAAGAGTATCTGAATAATTTTGAGAATGCGGTGATGCCGCTATTCAAACGCTTCCATGTATGTGGATCTGTCCCTACATTATGCTTACACTGTCTCACCACTGTTTCACAGATTACGGTCCACGAAATCGCAGAGACTGTGGGGGATGTAGTGACTATTCATGTAAGTAATCTCGCTATGATCTACAACATCGCCCCCAAAACATTAGACACCATATAGGCATCGTGTCTGGGGGAATCTATATTTGGCGCCCCTTATGTTAACGAATACATGGTCTTCCTTCATTTTGTACCGCCGAAGGAGGGTGGTGACGGCCTTCCCAAGATATCCATGGTTAAGGAGTTCGTCGATAGTTCAGTGATGAACAAGTTCTTCCCAGAAGAGCGTGCCAAACTCAGTGCTGCTATGGCAGCTCAAAAGGTGGGAGAATGAACATATTCGGAACCTGGGACGAAGAATTTTTTAGCAGTTAACGGAAGCCTGATAGGACAGTTGGAGGAGGCTGCAGGCATTGAAAATATGTACTTCAATCACGGGGAAGAGAGAAATAAGTATAATAGATCCATATGCAATTCTGCAGTGCGATGTTATATTGATTCCCTTATGGTTTGAGCAGTAGGCTAGGAAGCGGGAACCTCACTGACCCACACATTCAAAGTCGCAGACGCCATGTATATGCAATTTATATGCCTGCAGGGCACCCTGGATACTCATCTTTCCCTATCTCAACCGTTTACATCTTCTTGCCTCCACTCAGGGCAGATTTCACATTTCCGAAGACAAGTGAAGGCCCACGACCACTTGCAGACCTCCTGCTGCACGTTTTTCAATGGTGGAAGCGGAGAGTTCAGACTTCATGGACCAATAGGAATAGGAAACAAGGGTATCAATAAATCCCTGTACCCTTCTCCGCCCGTGCCTCAGTCGAGTGGGTTTTCAAGTAAATATTCAGGTTCTTTATAATACACTAACAATTCTATTGGTCTTCTACAAGTATACATCGCGACAGCCTTAGCTCCAGACACAAAACAGCAAGTCTTCGTCAATGATCTAGAGCGCCTTTTTCTGCTCAGCGGTGAGAGAAGCGTCCGCAAGGACCCGTGAGACCTGGCCGTGCTTGTCCTTGTAGAACACGATGTCGCCATCATCCTCGACGAAACAGCACTGTGTGAACGTGCGGTATAGTGCGCGGAAGGTGTTGGTAGAATCATAGTTGTAGTCCTCCTTGAGGACCTGTTTGAGCAGCTTGGTGACCTTCGGCTGATTGTCTAAGTGGGAAATGATGTCAGAGGGGCTTCCAGGTTGTAATGGAATACACGAACAGAAGGGAATTGAAGAGAAGAGATGGTGCGCAACCTATGATGGGGAACGGCATAAGTACGGGGAGGATATGGAAGAAGAGGATGAGGCATACATGGTCGTGAGAGACGTTATGGAGGAAGACGCGCCCAGCCCAGCCGAGGAGCGGCCTGTCGACAGTAGCAAGGGCGCCACGTAGGAAAGTCCACTGCTTAGCGCGGTAATGCGGGATTGTTGGGTCGCAGTGGTGAAGGTAGGTGAGCATCACGATCCAGTGGTTCGCCAGCTAAGCATAGAAAAAATCCTCAGTACGAAGGCGGCACGCAAATAAAAAAGAAACACACGATATAGGGAACGAAGTAAAGCTTGATGAAGTACTCGAGGCCGACCTGTTTTGTCCAGAGGTAAAGTATGGATGCCATGACGGATAGACCAATGTTCGACGCGATTATCCCCTTACGCTCGTGAGGCTTAAACAGTGGCGAGGAAGGTTCAAAGTGCTGTCCACCAGAAATCGTTTCTCTTTGAGATGCGTGATAACGAATCAAGTGAAAAAAAAAACGCACATTAGTTCCCTTGGGGTACATGGGGTTACCCATTGCGTTTGTAAGGAGATAGAACTGCCACCCAGCGGCCTGCATGAAGAGCATGCGCCCAAGCGTATAAATGGGAGTCTCTTCGAACATTTCATGGTAGTCCGCGATCTTTGCGATCTTTTCGTTTGGCAGGGCATAGTCCGAGCGTGTGCGCGGGACAAAGTTTTCGTCGCGCTCGATGGACATGGTTGCCTTGTGGTGGGCGTGGTGGGTAGAGCGCCAGGAATAGTAAGGCACCAGAATGAACTATACATTCACGCATTAGACCAACAGAAACGAATGGTACATGCAATTGGGGTGCTTACGGTGTGTAGTGTGTACCCAACAAGATGATTAAACCAGGAATAATTAGACAGGGTGCCGTGACCAGCCTCATGGGCCATGCACCACCAACCAGCGAGGATAACGCCTTGCCAATGCCAGTAGAGTGCCCAAGAAGCCCACTTGGCGATGGTTGCAATCACAGGGGCAACGCCATAGGCACGGACGAGGGTTTTTGCAGCGGGGTCGATGAGACATCCGAGTTTGTAGACGACGACGGCACAGAGCACGTCACGGGCGATGTACAGAAGGGCTTTTCCGGTGTGCTTCTCATGCAAATGTTTGGGTATGACAGAGTGCACGTCGGAGAAGGTGACCTACCAGTGTAGTGAGTCAGATTTTTGAAACACGACAAGGAGCAAGGTGTCAAATAACGACCTACCTTTGGAGGAGTGAACGGCGTCTCCAGACGCTTCTTATACTCAGGACCGTCTTCAAAAAGAGAGAACATAGCGTATAGCGATCCGATGAAGGGAAAACTACTTCCGCAGATGGGGATTGTGGATGGTCACAATAGCTCAGCTCACAGAAGATATTTAACAAGTTACTGGCCGATCAAAGGAGCCACCCGGAGTTGCCTAGATGTCAAACAAGAGTATGCGTGAACCCGCTATGCGTCAGGTAAACTTTGAATTTGACACGAGGTGTACTACTGCTGCGCTCTTAGCGGGGCCAAAAAGGGACGGACCGAGATAATTATCGCGTTTGGGTGGCGCCGTGCGGTGACTTGGGGCTGGAGTACCTTGGTCCCTGATTTCCAAAAGTTCCATAATTACATTACATCAATGCATTCAAATTGAATGCTATTTTACTCCACCTGCAGGTATATATCAGATTCATAAGAAGATAGAGCCAACGAAAATTGCCAACGGACCATATCGGCCGTACCAACATCCATCGTCCTCGCCGCGGCGCGGCGGCGTTTATATTTTTGAAAATCTGCAATCATTCTACCACTGACGAGCACCAAGGCCTCGTGCGTGGACACAGACCCAGTGGGAGGACCTCAAAAGTAGTTATCTGCGACAACAACAATGCATGTACCCAGTGTAGCCGCTGCGATACCTGTGGGTTGCATGACCGAATGGCATGGATTGTTTGTCATCGATGAGGGAATCAAGGTCTGGAACCAAGTTCTACAGTATTTCCCAGTCTAGAATAATAGATATCAATGATGAGAGGGCCCAGAGTAAAGATAATACAGAAAAAAAGGGAAGAGACGTTAAAACTGGGTGATTCAAGGATGGCTAAGGTGGCAGCGGGAAAATTTTCAAGAAGGCAGCGAGCTGCAGCGAGCCTTGTCGAATGTGGTCCGTGCGCGAAATGTTTGGCTCTGGCCTCCGGTAGTGACAATGTCAATTTCAAGTTCCTCCCGCGGAAGTTGACTCCGCCACTCATACCGCCACAGTTTCCCTAACCAGACGAGCTGCAGCTACTGTTTCTTGAGGAATCTCGCACTCAGCATTTCCCTTCGGTTCTCTCTTTCTAAAATGAATCTCTCTTGGTTCTTTACAGCCAGTGGCCAACTGTCTGGGTGTAGCGTCTGTTTGATCATGAGACAACAGACGTTTTCTAGAAGCAAAGGGGAATGAAGGTTTTTTCATCTCTGGTCTCACTACCTGCAGCCTTGGATCTGGCATCTTTTCTATCGACCTACCTCGTATTTGTTACTGCGGTCTTGAGCTCCCTCGTTTCTCTGCCACGCGGCCACAGGCGCCCTACATTCATGGCTCAGTCGTTTACGTAACTGTCTATTCAATTATGTTTTTTTGACGTTCTGTGTGTCACCCGAGTCAGGACTGATAAATCGTATGTTGCATAGATCCAGCCTCGTAGCCATTTGATCAATTCTCAGCCGCCGAAGCGCCCGCGCCTTCAGCAGCATAAAATGATCGAAAATGGTAGAAATAATGTAGGAGGATATGAATGGGCTTCGTTGACCGACAGGCGAAGGAAAAATGTGTGCGTCCTTTATGATTGTACCTCCTCCTTGCCCCTAAACGTCGACCTTGCGTGTTCCTACTATGCTGCGCGGCCCTCGTCCCACTGCATAGTGTGTACACGATAAGAGCCTCGTACTCCACTACCCAATGCCTGTTATTAGTGTTGAACCCGCGCTTCGTGGCCGATGCATCATTCATGGACCTTTTACGTCACCATACCCTGTCGAATATCCTCTCCTCACACATCTTCACAATCGGGTATGGTGTAACGGCTAACATTGCCGCCTCTCACGGACACCATGACATGCTCCTGCCTTGCCCGAGACAGGATAATGCTGTGATGTCGATCGCGGCAGCTCGGGGTTCGATTCCCCGTACCCGAAGTTTTTATGGACCCGTTATTTTGTTTGATTTTCCCCTCTTCTTGAGCTGCAAGGCGTCCTGTCTACTTGTTACTGGAACCCACATTGGGCTTCCAACTGAACGGATTGATCTTCGAGGGGCGATCTTCGTTGTTGAGCAATCTGCTTGGGTTTTCTTGGACCCTTGCCTCTGCTTCTAACTCTGGGGTGAAACGACGCACGCGAAGGCACCAACATATAATAATGTGGATTATAGAAAGGTGATATTGTCTTTACTGCTCCGATGAACAGGTTACAAGTGCCGCGACGCTATTTTCTATGCTATTCGAATTGGCACACACACAATGCAATATACTAGACCAGCGCCATACGTTGAAGAATATCTCGTCTCCGTCACTGCTGTCCGTCATGGCCTGTTCTTCTCCCGAAGCGCCAATAGACGTGTCGGATGTGTGAGACATTGTGGGATGTGCTGTGGGATGTGCTGTGGCGTCGAGTCGAACATGGAGATCGAAAGTGGGAAAGCGTGTTCCTGAACGGGATGTCGTCAACGTCCGGTATCGTTCCTGCTCCAATCAGCAGCCAGCCACCCCTCGATCGGCCGAAGAGAGGAGCCAGCCATATGGAGGGCGACGCTGCGGCATCTCAGTACGGAAATGCACTGGTTCAAACATGTAGCTCGGAAAGCTGCTCACGAACGTCAGTTTTGTCCCGTCAATGAGAGGTAGGTGATATCACATCGCCCCCTTCTCAGGCCTATGGTACGTTCGTAGGCAAGGTTTTTGGTAATCAGCTGCGTATCACCTGAAAAGGACGGACGACGGGGATAACGACCTGCTGCGCGCGGCGTGAAGGCAGTTCAATAGCAAGAGGTCCTCTCACGGCTGGGAGAAGCTCCGGGTGATTGACCGTTGGTATGGAAAGATGGGCGTTCGAAATCGAAAGAAAAACACGTCGCGTCATGCATATAGCCAGTTACAGGAACACAGTGAGTAGAAACGAAGAAAAAGATGAGAGGGTAGCTCACCTTGAGCTCAGCGAACGGAAATATATGTTAGGATACGCTGCCCCCATGGGTTGAAGATAGTCCGGCGATTGAGGCGATTAAGTGGTGCAAAATCGGGGCCGGTGGTTGGTCCTAGAAAGCAAAGTCGAGCTGGGGCAGTGGTGACGATAGAAGGGCATGTCATTAACATGTATCCGAGATTCCGTCGATGGTTGGGTCATCGCCCGATGGCGTGTATATCCTGAGAGTGTTGCGAGGGAACGTTTCTGAAAGCCTGGTGAGTCATACATATAATCTCGACCAGAAAAATACTGTTAAACATACCTGGACCGGGATTCTACACTTCTGTCAGCCATCTCGAACGACTGCGCCTTCATGAATGTGTTTCGAGATGGTTCACTCTACCCTAGGGATTTACCCAGAGATTTACCCAGGAAAGTTTCCTCGGGCCGCGTCGGACTCTGTCGGACTTTCCCCACTCAAGAAGCCTCTCCCGATGTCCGACGACCCTACTTTACCAATGCCGAACTCGAGCGCCTCAACTTCTTCAACTTCTTCAACTGAACTACATACGGATATCAGAAAGCACTCCCTATGTGCTATGAGAGTTTGATTCAATATATCACTGCCAGGGCCACTGTTTTTACTAGGTTTGAAACATCAACACTTGTCACTGTTCATCGGATCTCCCGGACCTCTCAGTGTCATGGAAAAATCCCTTCATTTCGAGCTACTCTCTTCACTATCCAGCAGATCGAAAGCCAACACCATCAACTCACGACCCCTCACTGTGACAAACTGCCATCTACGATGTACATATATTTCTCCTACCATCATGCATCTGGTCATTTGCACATTTCGTGATCGAGTCCTACTAAACTGCTATAGCAACAGAACACCCTGTTTCGAATAGTATTCTCTATCCCACAGTGATGCGCCACTTCTGCTCACCGTGAGTGAAAATGTTACAGTTTCCGCCGAACGTTCCGACCTGGATTTCTTGTTCGCCTCCGGCGCATACGATATGGCAGTCCTCCACAAGTCTCCCAGGAGATCATCAACTTTTTGATGTACAACACACAGACCTAGTGAGTACATCGAAATGCCTTGTCTGGATAGTTAAAACAATTACAGTTCGACAACTATGGTACTCGAATTGGATATGACGACGATCTCGTTCACAGCGCTTATACCAATTAGCATGGAAGCGGGCGCTTGTATGCATGCTTGCAGGCCACATTACCCAGTCAATATCATCGAATTTGGCTCTCATCATCCGATACTTCTGGTCCTGTGTGAAAAATCCCACTCCCTCGTTGTCTCAACTACACCTGCCCGTAATCGCGATGACGCATCCATCCCCAGTACATCACTGCCCACGATTGAGGAGACGTCAATCCCGAGTCCCAGATCGCCACCAACCCTGTGCGCTCTGGAATGTATCCTACCCGTGGTCCCGGCGGCAAATGCGGTTGCATGTTTTCTGAGTCGCGACTGATATAAAGGTGGGCATCTTTATAAGATGCTCCTTACACTTCTCAAAGTACCCAGTCCAGGGCAAGATCGCTGCATTTTCCGACAATGCATTTCCTAACCTCTATTGTTGCCACCATCACGCTCGCAGTGCCCATCTTTGCCAGCCCCGTGCTTTTGCACCCCATCCAAAAGTTTGATGGTGAAATAACGGGAAAGTACATTGTCAAGCTTAAAAACGGCATTCCTTTGGCCAATGTTCTCGGACAACTTGTGGGCGCACGCATCACTCACTCGGACTGGACGATTATCAACGCGTTCGCTGGTGAGGGCTACGCCAGGTCTGTTGTTTCTTCTCTAGAACTCTGCTGACAATGGCACATCAGGTGAACTCGATGATGTTTCACTTGCTTTGTTGCGTGTGTCTCCCGACGTCGAGTACATCGTTCAGGATGGCGTCCGGCGCGCATTTGCTACCCAAACACAGTGCGTTTTCCGGCATCATTTTTCAGACGGTCGATCCTAAATTTCTGCGCAGGAGGAACGCTCCCTGGGGTCTCTCACGTATCGATCAGAGCGCCAGTCTCACGAATAGGAATACAAAGTGATTTATCTTGTCATATCCCGGCTTCATACTACCCTGACACTGTCGTCATAGCTCGCTGAGCTTTTCATACATCTACGATGACTCAGCTGGACGTGGTGTCGACATCTACATCGTTGGTATGTGTCATCATTTCTTCTCTATGTTCTCACCCGCATTTATTATGATATCCTTCTCTAGATACTGGTGAGTAGGAGCAGATATTGAACTTCGGGCAATTCTTTTCATCGATACTTATTTGCATCTAGGCGTTCTCACAACTCACGTAAGTTCCAACTTCTTCATCGGCGAATGTGGGCCGAAGGGTGAATGAATCCGATCTACAGACCCAATTCGGCGGTCGCGCTCGCTGGGGAGCTACGTTCGGCGGCTACCCGTTAGTGTTTCATTTTTCTTGGCTTCACCGGCCCCCGCGTCAAATACATCCTCATACCTGAACCTGAACATCCAGAGATGCAGACGGCAATGGCCATGGCACCCACGTTGCGTGAGTACCAAGGGTCGAGCTTTCATCACCGGAAATCCTGAATTCCTGATCAATGCCTTTGTGCAGGGGTACCGCCGCCGGTAGCCAATATGGTGTCGCCAAAAATGCGAACATCATTGCGGTCAAGGTTCTTGATGATTCCGCGTAAGTGAACATCCTTCTCCACCTGCCAGTACTCATGTCGTAAACCCTTACCCATAGGTCAGGCGCTGACTCAGATATGTGAGTGTTTGTCTATCTAAGCAGTCGTGTTGGCGCCGACCTACAGCATGATAAGCATCGACGGCTTGAACTGGGTTGCCTCAACTGTTCGCGCATCTGGTCGTCCCTCCATCGCCTCCCTCTCCCTCGGTGGAAATGTGTCACAGGCTCTTGACGATGCTGCAACTTCGGTAAATTATTAACAATTCCTAAAGTTTATCCCATCTCATGTGTCTATTGCCAGCTTGTAAACATGGGGATCCACGTCACCGTACGTTTCGATTCCTGATAACTATACCAATGAGTAGATACTCATCCCCACCATTCAAACCACAGGCAGCCGCTGGAAATGATAACATCGACGCGCAAAATACATCCCCCGCGCGTGCTCAAGGTGTTGTCACCGTCGGATCTAGTAACATTAACGACGCCCGCTCGTCATTCTCGAACTATGGCGCTGTGGTGGACTTCTTCGCGCCTGGTGAGAATATTATCAGCGCCGGGAAGGATAGTAATACCGTAGGTCTGCGTCCGCCCGCTTTGTCTCCTTGCTAATCTCGAGTATTACAGGCCACTGCTACCTACTCGGGAACCTCAATGGTGTTTTCTTCTTTCAAAGCTCTCAAGCTTAATTTTTCTGATATAAAATTGGATGTAGGGTACCCCTCACGTTGCAGGCATCATCGCTTACCTGATCGGCGAGAATGGTAACACGTCTCCGCAAGCGATGGTCAATCAGCTCAAGACGCTGAGCGTCAAGGGAAAGCTCAGTGGCGTCCGTGCGTTATTCCATGCGGTACTACGGTCACCAATTGTCTCATGATTTCCTTATTCAGCTGCAGGAACCGCAAACAATCTTGTACAGAATGGGAATGGAGCTCCGGCGAAATAAGTTTTTCAGCCGAAAAATTCATGTACATGTAAAATAAATGTACGCACGTATGTATGTGTAATCTACAGCGAATTTGTATGCTCAACGAGTGAAGCTCTTCAGCTCAAATCACAGAATGGTAGGTTGATCGATAAAGGTAAGAGGAACCAAGGAGCAATCGCAAGGGTTGTGTGAATTGCGACTGTCAGAAATTCTTCATCCCGTTGTACACTCAGCCCTCAATCGGGCGTAGTAGCTGGAAGTTAGCTCCAACAACAAGAAAGGTCGGCAAAGGATAGCCCGAGACTTACATATATATTTAGGAGAGGCGTTTGGATTCGGTAAGAAGGTTTCGTGAAGCTGCCTAAAATGATACATT